AAAGTAAAATATTTACTACCAATCTGCCAAATTTTACGGAATTTCACCGAAGGAAACGCGAGAAATTTCACAGTCAGTTTTGCTTTTTGTGCTCATGTTGACGTAATAAAATATCGAAAAACACTGACGTTTTCCTTTGAGCGCGCGCAGATTACTTCCTCAACGCTCGCGTGATCGTAAAACTATAGGGAGCCACCTTAAAGTGATTCCTTATTATTGCATTGCGCATCCCTACTACGCACGATTTTCGCGTCATTAGCGCGCGCAGATGAGCGCGTGCGCGTACAAAACGTAAGAGATTTCCCTCAAACTAAGGCCCAGTTCATACGTCGCATTTCTGCCGTGTCGAATTCAATTCAATTAAATGCGACAGAAATGCGACTGTGGATTCATACGTCGCACTTGTGTCGCACTTAATTCAGAATTTATACTTTCGGGTATGTCGGCCAGCGGAAAATGCTTTAAACGTAGTAGTATTCAATATGGCGGACGCAAATACCGAGCGACGAAGGACTTTAATTTTGCGAAAAATTGTCCGCCAATAGAACAAGAAGGAAAAGGCTGACAACGGAGCAGTATGTGTTGCAATATGTTCAGGTTGCTTTGGGTCGAGAATGGCCAAGTTTCTTTTTCTTTGGCAGGAAAACACTTACGCATGCTCAAACATTAACATAATGTATGCATTAGATTCGACACGGCAGAAATTCGACGTCTGAATCGGTGTCGCATCTCTGCTGGATAATGCGACAAGACCAGTCGAACGTGCGGCAGAAATGCGGCAGCCGATTCAGACGTCGAATTTCTGTCGAATTTAATTCATTGAATTGAATTCGACACGGCAGAAATGTGACGTATGAACCGGGCCTAAGCTCGATAGCGAAATAAATGCTCCTTTTCTTTTAAACGAGCACGGTGACCCCCACTTTTTATTTCATAATTTCAATGAGAACAATATCCTCAATAACGGAGAAAAACATTAGCAGAAATCTATAGCTACTTTTTTAGCAAATGAAATAAATACTACAGAGGGAGACATGACGGGCCCAACAGCGCATGTCCAAATTATTTTTCCTTTAAGGATAAAAACATGCAGGGTATTTGAAGACATTTTTTCTGGGACGTAGATGAATAACCAATCAAAGGAAGTCAAACTCTGTGTGATATAACCCGCTGCATTAAAAAATAATCGAGCTTATTTTGCTGCGCACGGAGATGACCAAAAATCACCTAAATAACCGTATTTGTCAGCATTGTGGCGTGAAAACAGGCACGGTGACCCCTCTTTTTTACTATGTTTTTAATATCTTTTTGTCCTGTAACAACAGCATACCAAGTTTCAACGGAAATCTATGGCGGGTTCTTTTACTAAGGAATCACCTTAAGTCGTTTGCAGGTTTTAATACACAATCTTAGAAGTAAACGAAAGTTTTACACTTTTACTTGCTATAAAAGTTAAGAACACTTGGCGATATATCACGAAACATGTTGACAAAAACAGCTTTATATTTTAGCGGCCTGTACAGTAGAATACGGCCCGCTAAATTGACCAATCACAACGCGCGTGCTAACTGAGAGATATAATAAGAGGAACAAGTACTTTCATGCCGACGTTTGTAACTCAATACTTTTGTTTTCCTCGCCAAGGTATGCAACATGATACCATTGTGTCCTCGAAAATTTAAGAAAGATGTGTATTTTTTACACACACTACTGGAGATTAATGTTGATAAATGGAATGAAGTTAAAATTAAATGTAGAAATGACATCAACTCGGAAAAAATCCGAGTTCCAGATGCGATCTGAACCCACGACCCTCCGTGATCTAGCCGGATGCTCTAACCACTGAGCTACTGGAGACTCTATGGTGAACAAGGGTGAAATGTGGGTCTTTGACTGGAACCGCATGTAATACTCACTTTGGAGGAAGGTAAAATTCTGATGAAAAATGGAAGAGGAACGATTTTGCTTCATTCAAAACTCAAATTTTCATTTCACCGATAAACAAGAACTAATCTAAT